TCGTGATCCGTAAGCTGGCGTGTTCCAACTGCGACCGCTCGACTGCTGTTCTACGTGGTAGGGAGAAGAGGTGGAAGAAGGGGATGTGCAGAGAGTGGGAAAATCGGAGAGGAAGAGAACATTAGTAAAGGAGAAAGAAGAAAAGAGAAAAACAACGAGAAGAAGAATGGAAAAAGAAGAGTGAAAAGGGAGTCAAAGCGAGATGGAAAAAAGAGCAAGAGAAGAGAAGGAAAAAAGAGAAGGAAGATGAAGGAGGAAAAAAGGGAGGTTGCAAAAATGGGAGAGAAAGAGAGAAAAAGAGAGAGAAAGACTGAGAAAGTTGAAACAAGAGAACCACAGTAATGATCAATTTGGCGCAGCCATCAAGAGGGAACAAAATTTTTAAAGGAGGGGTATATCTACGTCGCGCGTCGGTCAAACGGATTGCAGAAGAGGAGCAACGTTTTATGTTATTAAGTTCGCAAAGAGCCAAACTAAAAAGCGCTATCACGGCTGCGATTAGATCAGCAACGGTAATGAAGGACATTATATAACGGACATTTGTTTTGTGGAAAGAAAAGGAATAGAAGAATGAGAAAAAAGAAGTAAAAAAAGAAGAGATGGTTATAGAGAAAAAAAGCTCACTTATATACGATGGAGGATATATCGAGGGATGACAATTTTTTCATATAAGCTTTTCAGAAGATAAGACGATAAGATGAGATGTTCATGATAACTAGTCCATTTATGATGGAAATTTAAAGAACTTCACCTCTTGAACGTAATGAAAAAAAAAACGAATTATTAAAAGAACGAACCTTTTTAAACCTTATTAAAGAAAGCATTTTTGTAGAGAACATCAAGCGATTTAGCGAACATATGCAAATTAAAATTAGAAAAAAGAATTTTTTGTAACTAACACTTTGATACGAAGAAAATCGTACAAAGTAGCACTAAAAGAACATGTGCGAATCTTTGATTATTCAAAATCAGAATAAAATTGAAATAAGAATTTGAGACAAGCGATTGCATACATAAATTTTAAAATTTCTTTTGAAAAGAAGGAATCAACGAAGGATATTTAATAAAAAAAGATATATAATAAAAAAATGCGTAATGCGATATCGAAAGGAAGCTCAAGACAGAGAAAGATAAGAAAAGGGTTGCACAGAAAATGCAATAGAATGGAATAGAAAAGAGCGAACAAAATAAAATGAGCAAGAAAAGGGATATGTGCTCGTTCGCAGCTGGATTGCGGAAAAGGCTTTCCTTGCATCCCGATCCCGAAAAGGTATACGATAAGGACAGATCGTTAGGATGGGAATGGGAGGGGACAAGTGAGGGAAATCAGGACGGAGTGCGCGCGCGAAGTGGCACTAGACCATCGATCGACTACGCGCGGTGGTAGCCGCCGTCGCCGCCATCGCCATCGTCGTCGTCGCTGTCGTCGCAACTAAACATTTTGTAGTGCTCGCAGATTCACTGCAGGGTTGAGACTTCTCGTGCGGACATGTGCGCATTTAGAAAGAAAAATAAGAGTAGAACAGCGGCTACGGTTATGGAAGATAAAAAAGCATATCGGGACAGAAAGGATAAAGCGAAAAAAGCAAACGAGTCAATAAAGAGCATATAAAAAGCAATGTGAAGCATTGCGCATAATGGCAGCAGCATTGGTGATTGAACCAATCAAAAGGCGATCCACTTTGCAGGCGCTCACTTTAAAATGAAATTTGATTATAAGAAATGAAAATGCTTGAATTATGTAAAATTTGATAAAATAATTTCTATTCTATATATGAATATTTTGCGTTTATAAAGAAACTGTTCGAAAATGATAGTAAAGTCCAGGCAGCTTTCTGAGATAAAAACAGCATGACTAATAGTTTCTGCGGTCTTCTAGGTCAAATAAGCCTAATGATATGAATCAAGAAGTTACCTTAGTGTGTCGCTTCGTGTGTCGTTATTAATGACTTCTTGGCAATATTTAATTTTAAACAAAGGTATAAAGAATACATTTTTTTTTTAATATGATTCTTTACAGAGAGAGTATTATTAATAAAAATACTGATATAATGAGAAATTTAATCGAAAAATTTAAATCTATCTATACGATGTAACGTATTGGCTTATCTAACCGAAATTCACGTCTATTCTTATCACTTCACGTGACACGATATTAAAGAAATACACGCTGCATCGATCGTCTTTTCTTATCCATGTACGAGTACATTGACGTTACAAGAAGTCCGGCACATACGTATATTGATCTTGTGTAAAAAAACTGAAGGCCAACTATGTTTGCAAGATCGAAAAACATATTCAAGATTACTGATTTTTATTACATAGATTCTATATAAATTTTGATAAATCTACTTGATTATATTGAAAATATAGTCATAAAAATATTTAAAAGTAAAATATTTAAGAA